CACACTCTGGGGTGTTTTCAGAGTGGCTGGAGCAGAGAGGTAGGGTAGCTCAGCGGGGAACTGTGCGGATGGGTGAGGTGCCTGTGTACCTGCATAGACTGGCCAGAAAAGCCAAACTTAAGAAATCTGCTTATGTACAGAACAAATCAACTGAAGGGGTTCTCATTAATCTGCCGTCTGTGAATTTCGTTATTTTTCAGGTTAGTTCTGAGTTTTGTTGCCTTTTTAAAGGGAGAGAAAAGCAAGCTACATACTATTTTATTATGAGTCTTCAGAATGGAGGGGTAAAAATCTAAGTTATCAATATTAGGCCAGTATTCTTTATGCAGAAGAGCATAATTGAGCTTAAATATTCACAGGGGCTGCTTTGATTTTTTTTTTTTTAAAAACTAGAACTAGATTAAAACTGATGGTGCAGAGAAGAAAAAAAAAGTTTTTTTGTAGTTCAACAATTGAATCTGTCTTGGTTCTTAAAACATTTCAGCCAGTGTCATTCAAATTTGCACTATTTTTAAGCTTGACCTTTGACAAGGCTTTGTAAAATCTGGTGAGGGGGTTTTAATAGCTGCCAAAAAAAAAAAAGTAGAAGAAAAAGAACTGAAGTTTGAAAACTTACCAAAATAGTAAGATATTTTAAAGCTACCAGTGGCTTTTATAGATGCAAAGTTGAAAGGAGAGGAGGTTAGGGAGAATGGGACATCTTTCAATGGAAAAAAAAAAAAAAAAACTGTCAAGGCCTTAAAACAAGTGTGTGAAACAGGCTGGTAAATGGTGATGAAACTATGTTTCTTTGACCAAGTTAGTCCCAAAAATATGTTTCTCAGCATTCTTGGGTGTTTTTCATCCAAGTATGTAAGTTTTATAAAGTAAGGAATTCAGGTAACTGTAGAAAATGTGTTTCAGTGGTACTGATGGGGTTCAGCATTGGCTAATGGGGAATAGTTCAGTTTGGTTCTTGAGCCACTGGAGGAAGGGAGGAAGGGGAGTAGGTGTCACTCACTGGATGGGGCTTGTGTGGCAGAGTTGTAGAGCAGCAGGTACTTCAGAGAGTTCCTGAATGGAAGTCAGTGACCAGGCAACTGTAGACACCCCCCACCTCATACATTTCTTAAAAGGGAAGGGTGTGTGCTCTTCCAGGGTATCCTGGTAGCAGGTTGATTGCCTGGCTTTTATTTTAATTTCCATAATTGGTAGCTTCAGAAATGGCTTTAGAAGGCAATTTGCTTTAAATGTGGCCAGCTATTCCAAAATGCCCAGCTTATTTTAGGAACCCTACCCTTTTCCTCCGGAGTTCTTTCTCAGGAGTTCTTTTGGACTGGACCAGGAGGTAGGGTCCTTCCTGAATCGACTCCTGCAGAGGTCACATTTTGTGTTCGGGGTCGTCCCCAGCGTTTGTGAGTAGCATATGCATGCGGTTGTGCTGACTGCACTCGCAGGCTTGTAAATTTTCACCCTGGGAAATTAGCAACAAAGCCCGATCTGTCTCGTGGCTGCTTTGCACTTTCCGAGGGCGGCTGTACTTGACTGAGCTGCAGAACAGGCACACGAGAGCAGAGCGAGCGAGGGAGCCAGCGAGAGAGGGAGGGAGAGAAGGAAAGGAGAGAAGAGGGGAGGGGTGGGGGCGAGAGGTAAATAGTCTTAAATCGGAAGGGAGCTGCTTCTCTGTGGTCTTGACAAGCGCTGCCTGGGCTCCGCCGGCTCAGTAATAACTGAGTGACCTTTTCTTTGGCTGTATTATGTCTGGCTGGGAAGGGATTGCATTTTGCTGCTGAGAGCCGGGGCTTCTTCAGCTCGGCTCCTCGCACGCTGCTGGGGTAAGTTGTCTTGAGCCCGGACGGAGAGAGACAGCCTTGGACTGCAGTTGCCTAAAAGGAGAACACCTGTGGCTCAGATGCGGTCAACACCATTACTTGGCGGATCCTTGAGGACCTCATTATTTTAAACTTAAAAAATAGAGATTCCCTCCCCCCTCTTTTTTTTTTTTTCAAACAATGCTTCTTTTTGACCTTTCCCAAGGAGAAGCGCTACAAAGCAGCCACTGTGCTTACTGAACGGCCTCCCCCTGTATCGCTTAATTGAGAAGGTAAGTGCAGCAACTGTGTACACACGCGTCGGCTTATTTGTGGTATGTGTGTCTGCGGGTGCGCGCGTGCGTGTGCGGATGTGGGTATTTTTTTTTTCTTTCCCAGCCTCTCCTAATGAGGCATAAACTGGAGCTGCAACCCAGCTCCGCACTGCAACTTTCACTCGGGCTGCAGCTCTACTGAGACGGTTTTGTTTAAATCATGTGAGGCTTCATTATTTTTATGATGAGACATGAAATAGATGCAGGCGGAAGATGTTGATGGAAGGAGGGAGAGCGCGGCTGCGGCGCGGAACATCTCAAGTACGACTCGAGTGGATAATAGTCAAAGTTCACCATGAACTGCAGCATTTCCACACCCCTGACTCCCTGGGAGAGAGGGACAGGGAGAGTTTGCAATTGGAAAATGTTTGCTTGGAGCTCTTAGGAAGGGGCTTCAATCCTAGGTGTGTACTGGGACCCCTTCTTCTACTTGCTGAAATTTATATGAACCACCCCCCACAAAAAGAAAAAAAGAAAAAAAAAGAGTTGAAATTACAACCTCTTCGTTGTTGTTGACACTTCTGCTTCTCCCCATACAGCCATAATAACAAAATATTGTTCCTTGGGGATGAAAAAGTGACTATGTTGTAGGGGGGGGGGGGAGAGGGGGATTAGGCGAGAAGTGGCCAGAGGGGAGAGGTTCCTTGAAAAGAGGTGCTTATGTCCTTATAGGTGGAGATTCAAACTGATGCAGCACATTTTTTACAGGGGCTACTCAGATTGCTGTTATGAAATACAAGTCAGATTTATGATCTTTTTCATATTGAACATGATATGCTATGCTAACGCTGCATGTGACAGTTTAATCAAATCCATTTGTTACCAGGAAGCTAAAAAGGGCCGCTGGGATTTTAGGATTATGGGCAGAGTTAGGGAAGCATGTGGCTTTGTCATTCGCCATCATTTTGCACACAGCCACACTACGAGGGGCTCCGTGTGTGCACCCTGTCTTGTCTGGCCGCCCTCATCCCTTCCCCCACCCCTGCCTCCACTCTGAACCGCTCCCAAAGTGGCTTCACAATAGTGAGTCCTTCCTGGTCGGTGCAGGCTGCGCACCAGGTCCACACTTGAGCCAAATCAAGGAGAATCCCTTCTACTACTACCTTTGGGCTTGGTGCTCAATGCGAAACTGCTGCAACTTAGGCACGCCTAACTCAACTCATGCAGAAAAAGGAGAAAAGTTTTGGTAAGGTTACGATCTATCATAGATGCACTTTGCCGGCGCTCTGCACTCTTGGCTGCTCAAAAGCCTTCCTGCTCTTCCGCTGTTTTTGTGCCTTTCTGAAAGATCCGAAATATTATTGTTGTAACTGCTTTGAGAGACTGCTGCTTAAACCAATTAATCTTGCTAGGTGCAACAAATACTGCTACATTCTTTGCAAACCATCCCTGTGTGGCTGCAAAGACACAACCACAAAAGGCTGGAGCATAAACTCCGTAAGGGATTCTTTGTTAGAGTGTATGTATGTTTCTTATTTTTTTTTTTTATTTTGCATGTGAGCTGCATCAAAATTGAACTCAGTCTTGCAAATCTCTTGTTGGCCTTTGCCAAGCACTAGCACTTTGCTGCCATGGTAACTGTAATTAAACTGATAAGAGTGGAAAAATGTCAGTATCTCTGAGCCTTGCAGCTGCATTGGAGAAAAAGGGAATCAAATTGGTTCCCAGCTCCATTGCTCAAAAAGGGGAGGGGGTGGAAGGATAGGGAGGGGGGTTGGGAGTTGAAGGGGCAGAACAGAGTTAAGCAGCTCCAGTGCCAGAGATCTGGGGACATCTATTTGCATTGTTGTCCCTTAGGGGGCTGCAGCCTGTAGGGATGCTCTGGGCCAGTGAACAGAGAGAAACAAGCTTTTAGGCCCAATCCAGTTTTCCAATGGGGGGGGTGGGGGTGGGGGAGAGGATGAAGATGGGCAGGAAGAGAGAAAATCTTTTGTTTGGTACCTCTTGGCAATCGAATGGCCATGTTGGCCAAATTCTTTTAATCTGTGCCACTGCTCCCAGCTGCAGAACCTGCATTCCCATTTTAGCATCTTTTGGAGGCACCTCATCTCTTCCAACCCCCTTTATATGTCCCCTCTTCCTGTGTCTTTTCCAAAATTGTCCTCTGTGAATCTTCCGACAGGGACAAAATGTTTTCCATTCACTCTATGCAGTTAGTCCAAAAATATAAAAGACTGTGTCTAAGTACTGCAGATCTTTTATTATTATTATTATTATTTTTTAAACCCCTGTGTGTTGTGGAGTTGTGGTTACTTTGTTGTGTTAACTACTGAAGCTGAGACTGTGCGGATGAATGGCACAGAACAAGGGAACATAATGGAGGCAATCAACCGTTAGGCCGCCTCACAATGCAATCCAGGCAATTAAAAGCTCACCAGAGTTTAAATGAAATGGTTCTACTTATTTCTGCACACCACACTGCACAGGCTATTATTTATGTCTTTTTTTAATTATGATTTCCCTTAAACTGTCAAATAACTCAGAATGGCAGGGTCTCAGAGGCAATAAGAATTTCCCTCAGAACAATTTACATGCCAATCTAAAACTAGTTATGAGTCCTGATGTGCTATGAGCAACTTGTGAAATGTTTCTCTGCTGCGAACACAGAACTCTACCCAGACGTTTTCTTCTGGATGATGAGGAGAGGCCACTGACTGCTTTATGCTTTTTAGGTACATGGCAACGTGGTGACTACAAAATAGTTCCTTTTCTACAATTGTTAACTTGCATGGAATCGAAAAGATTCTGTTTTCTAGAGAAACGTGATAATGTCCCCTAAAAGAAGATAGGGGATGGAGTGCAAATTATCAAACTTCCTTTATGCCCAAGGCCAGATAGAATGTAAGAGTTTCAAATATTAATTGGCCTCTGAGTGCTAAATTAAAATGTCAACACAACAAAAACATTTTGTAAAGACAAGCAGGGTAGTTTTGCTTGTGCCAAATGTTGGTACCCCCTGTCTTAGTTGCAAAGCATTTTGAATAAAGATAACTGACCATCTATACTTGATGATAATAACACAGCTATGGGAAATAACATAGCTTAGCTACCATAGGAAAGATTTTTTTTTCCTTTTAGCCTTGTTATTTAAAAAATAATAGCCTTCTAAGTTACATAATTAGAATGACTCCTCTGAATATATTTCTGGATGTTTTTAGCAACAAAATCCAAAATGTCATTTGGTAAATCAAAATTTCCCCCTCCCCTTAGGTATGTGGCTAAAAGGCACTTGCACTGTAATTAATGAGATTCATTCCTTGTGGAACCTTGCTAGAAGAGGATAACTAGTTCTGATCAAAGAAACTTCATTTGTTAGAAGTTCTAGAGAGTGAGATTTAGCAGAGCTATCAAGGGTTATGATTAATCTACACTTGGGCCCTAGCTCCTTCAAAGAAAAAGAACAGAAAGCAGGCTATAGGGATACCACCTGCTCTTCTGTACAAATCCAGCTGCTAGTCTGCAGCTTGGACAACCCCAGCTATGCATATCATGTAGAAAGAGCAGCCATCCTGCTTTCTTTCTTGCCATCCCCTACTCTACCACTCCACCAGACAAGTTATTTTCTAAACAAAGTTCAATATCTCAATGTTATTATGGGCACTTTATTATTTGTACCTAGAAAATTTACTCAGCTATGGAGATACCTTGATGTCTTTTTATCGATGTATTTTTTTTTAATTTTAAGTAAGGCTAAGGGGATAATAGGAGTGAAGCCTTCATTGGAAGGTATCGGAGGAAATGAGGGTTTTGCTAATTTGTAGAAGAGAAATGCAAAGAAAATGCAGAAAATGATAGGTTGTCATTTCTTTCCTTGAAACTTTTTAAAATGCATGTATATTTATTGCTTTGTATTCTTCTACATCCAAGTTTGAAACTTTATGCCTAGGAGAGAGAGCAAAGTAGAGCAGAGGTATCTCTGAATTGTAAGAAGGCCCCTTGTCCCCAAATCCACATTTAACTCTTATTCTACTTTGAGGGAGTCTCTTAACATCACTGAGTATCTGCATGACAATTTGTAAAATGAGGGAATTTGAATTGATGATGTCTGCAGTATTTTATCATGCTTAAAATGAGTTATGTGATAAAAATGAAGCTTTGAATAGTTGTGCCAGCTTTTTTAAGGCTGAGTGTTCAACACCTAGGAAATAAGAAGAAACTCAAAGGTGAATATTCATTCACTGTAAAGATTTCAGCCAAGTTGTAAAACACACAGAACCCAGCTAGATTTCTTATTTATGATGGAGATACAGCTTTAAAATATATAAATGTCCCTATATCTATATAGTATATGTAGATCTTCTATGTATATTTATGTATGAGTGTATAAATTTATATATATTTCGACTTTTCTTTCCATTGTTTCTGCTTTCACCTACAAAATAAATAAGTGCATGCTTAGTAATTAATTAAATGATCCTATACTTAAGTTTTATATAAAAGCGAATAGTATATACTTGAGTAACATTCACTTAATATAGGCACTGACCGATGATTGTTAGCATAAATATATTTTGTGATTTTAACATAGTGAATACTTTGAAATATCAAGGACACAGAAGGAAGTATGTGGATGCAAAAAAAAAAAAAAAGCAATAAAGGTTTGGTGAGCTTTTCGGGTGGCTGTGCTATGTACTTTTAACTCTAAACATTTGTACTGCTAAGTAAGCTTCATATAATCCCACACAGGGTGCACTTTTCTTCCACCACCAACCATATATTAAGTGAAATTTTTAACCATTAAGCAAAATTCATTTTTGACTCCTGTAGATTGTGTATGGATTCGTTTGTTAAATAGCTTTCTTTTCAGATTGTTAGCCATTTACTCACATTTTCCTCCTAGAGGAATAGCTCTATGTGAAGAATGATTTAATGTTATTTAACTTCACATATATAATGTCAACTTCCCATGTACAACATGAATTCATTATTATTACCACTTTATATGTATGACTTCATCAATCTTTTAATAAGGATTTTATAAAGTTTGAGACATTTTACTTCCAAAATTTAGTTAGATTTCAGTATATCCCTAAAAGAGAAAATCTAATGCTTCTAGGAAAAAGGCAGTATTAAATATTTAACTTGTTTGAGGTCTTTTGACATCTTTGTTATTCTGCCTTGTAGTCTCAGCTCTCTTTCTTTTTGTTTTGTCTTCCTTTAGGTATACAAATGCTCTCAGTTCAGCCAGACACCAAGCCGAAAGGTTGTGCTGGCTGCAACCGAAAGATCAAGGACCGGTATCTTCTAAAGGCACTGGACAAATACTGGCATGAGGACTGCCTGAAGTGTGCCTGCTGCGACTGTCGATTGGGAGAGGTGGGCTCCACCCTGTACACTAAAGCTAATCTTATCCTTTGTCGCAGAGACTACCTGAGGTAGGAATTGTCCTTGCACCCCAGTGATGACTGGATGCCTTTTAAAATATGTTTGTAAGTGTAGTTTTTTGTTTGTTTCATTTCCTTACTACCAGTTCATGTTCCTGAAATATGTTGACCTGTCAGCCTTCAATAATGTTGCCCAGTGTGTTACACAAATCACTGCTTAAGGAACCACCAGCAAAATGTATCTACAGTGTTCCAATTTGGCTTACTCATTTTGGGGGAATAAGTTATTTCACTATTTATTGAAACTGCCAGTTAATGTCAAGGATGTATTTTGTAGAAACACGTATGCAAATTTTATTTATTAGAGCATTAGGAAGCAAGGTAGGTTGTAAGAAATGGGTTAGCTCAACATTTTAACTTTGTTTTTGAAAAGTTCAACTTGAGTTGGACTGGCTCTGCTTTTTGTTTCATATTTGTCAGAGGAAGTCAGTGATTTTTATTGGTGTATTTATTATATGGTTTGAAAACTTCCCCTAAGTGCGAATACATTCCCCACCCCCACCCCCGCCCAGGACATTCAAAATGGTCATCAAAAAGATGTCACTGAGCATTGAACAGCCTCAGACTTGCCAGTGTCTTTATGGAGAATACAAAATAAAGACCATCATTATGGGGAAATGATAGGTACACTCCAAACTGCGCATATCTGGGAAATTTGAAGACAAAGCAGGTATTCCTGCCTAGAAGGCCGGTGGAGTCGGCTGAACTTGTTTCCCAGGGTTTAGTACTCAACACAGAATTTCCACTGAAGAAACATTATTTTGCTTTTCAGGGAACTTTGTGACTTGATTCAGCTGCAAATTACTTATATTAATAAAGTAGGATCTATCAAATTAGAGAAATGATATATGGCATCATTTGGGTTTTCACATTTGATACGATTAATCATTTTTCTAGTCTGACATTAAGCTATTTATTTTGAATTTTTCCTCTTATGACACAAAATTTATCAATCAGCAGCAACTCCTTAACCATCTTGGTCATTCTGGGAGGTATTTTCTAGGGAATCAGATCCTTCTTAGTCTATAATTCAGTTATTTAAAGTCAGATTCAATCTCTCTATCTAAAAATACATCTTTTGATTAATTGTAGTTACAAGAGGGTGAATCCAGTGCTGTTTATCAGATTCTATTCTTCCCCTCTCTCAGCACTGCCTCACCTGACAGCCTTCTGACTAATTATGGCCACTTGTTCCTACTCCCCTGTGTTCCAAGTGCACAAAATCTTGCAAGGTGCCAACAATGGGAAGTGACTCCCCCCAGCCAGGATTTCCCTCATTATGGTGGTACAACTAATCAGTTAACTTATAACGTGAATTCTTTTAGAACTCTCCAGTCTTTGAACTTTCTCTTTGAAATAAAAATTTCTCCTCTCCTCATTGCGAATTAGAGCCTCATTTCAACACAAAGCATTTGTATTTGCTTTTCATGATTTAACACTGCTTTCCAGTTTTTCTTTATCTGTACTAACCAACAGTCACAGCTTTTTGACTCCTTTTGACTTTTACATTTGCTTACGATTTCAGTATCTCAAGTGGATTTATGTTGCAATTCCAAACAAGGGGTTTATACAGTTTACATAAGATTAAAGTGTTTTAATACTTTTTAAAAAGTCAAAAATTGAGGAAATCTTAAAGAAAGTTGCTTGAAATATCTGAATTTTTATAAAAAAAAAACAATAACTTGCCAGTGAAATATTTGCATTGTGAGTGAAACAACTTGTATGGTTTTTGATATAATAGCAAGGAGAGAAAGTAACCTTAGATTTGTTTTGCTTTATTCTTCCTTATGGCAGTAAAAAATTAGGATGTTAAGCTGGTCTTTGATGACTTAAGTGTTTTGTTGAAGGGAATTTATACAAATACTATTCATATCAGAAATCCTTATCTATCTCTAAAAGAATGTATGTTGATTTTTATGGTATAACTTTTGGTTAATTTCTGATATGCTTCAACTTTTTTTATATTTATTTTTTAGTTGTACTTGGACACAATACCTTTATTTTGTTTATTTATATTTATGTGGTGCTGAGGATCAAACCCAGGGCCTCCCACGTGCTAGGCGAGTTCTCTACCGCTGAGCCATGACCCCAACCCCTAATGGGCTCGAACTTTTAATGCTATTAACTTATAAACATTTTATCTTCTGTCAAATACAAACTCTCATTCTGATGGCCAATATTTTCATTTCTCAGAGTACAATTTCCTTTTAAATTGGTCATTACCACGTTAATGACAAGTTGTTATGTTAAGTTGTTAACATTTCAAACTAAGTTGCTAACAGCAAGCTTTCCCTTAGTTAAATGGAAGGCTTGCTATATACAATGTTATTTCTTCGGCAACTTCATCAACACTTACAGATCGTAGAAGTGAGCTTGAGAATTGGTGCGTGTATAAAACCCTATGTGATATGTTACAGATTATGCCACAGATGTGGTATTTAGCTTTGTGAGGAAAGCATGTATGCTGTTGAAGTTATATAGATGTTCAGCACATATGCCTCTGATTGACAAATGAAAATTGTCTGATTATATGTGTTAAATCAACAAACACATCAAATTTATGGACAAATCAATTTCTTTGATAATGTATAGTCATTCAAAAATGTTTCTTGTGAGAGGAATAATTTTAAACAATGTATGAAATTAGGGATGTTATAGGGGCTGTAGTCACTATTAACTATCAAACTTATTTGTTTTAGAAAATATGAATAAAGCAATGTGTAATCAGAATTTTAAGACTTTGTGACAATGAATAGTTTATTTAATTTTATAAAATCCATGATATGATCAGTGAATTAATAGGTAGTATCTGTTTCTATTTTTCTGAACTGCAAAAATAATTTCTCTTGTTTCCCTCTGTGTTCATCTTATTTTCGTTTTGTATTTTGCACACACAATGTTTAACCATTTCTATTAAAAATTGCCTTGTTTTGCTTTGGTTTTGGCCTAAGGATATTTCTTTGAGGCAACAAACAGATCAAGAAGAACTTATAGAAATGTGTTTCTCAGTCTGCATTACTAGGCACTTAAGTAAGAATATGGAAAATGATAAATAAAAATTACCTGATAATTGGCATTTTTGTGGGCTAGATAATTTTTTATATCTATAGAAGAGTAAATAATTTTTCCCAGTGGCATTTAACTCTTAATAAACTTTCTAATTTAAAAAAAATGTAATTTTGAGCAATGAATCTTGAAGACCTGTGTTTTATTTTGCATATAGTGGCAATAATGACAGGTTTAGAAAAGCTCTTGTATAATAATTTGAGATATTAAATAATGTAAAAATATAAGAATTTAAAAGTAAGATATTAACTTAAACATTATAGAAACCATTGTTGTGGTAAATTTGATTATTTCAACTTTGTTTTCCTTTGTGGAATAATAGCTACAATTGGAAAAGAAAGAAAAATATTCTATAGTTTATGCATAATGTGACTTGTTCAATTTCCATAACTGGTCTTGTATACCATATTTAAGACAAAATTTACTCATTTGCAGGACTATTTTCCTTCTTTTAAAACTCATCAGATAGAGAAAGAGAAGGATTGAGTTAAGAACTTCCTCTATTAATATGCTTTCTGACTGAAACTATGAAGTCAGTCTGCCAGATAACGTTTTATATGTCAAGACTCAGAAACATATCTGTTATAAATGTGTCCCCCACATTTATATCTATTTTATTTTTAAAGGTGACTTTATGACAAATTAAATCAAAGCATCTTAGTAACTTTAATTGGAGCCTAAAACTGATAGTATATAAAGTAGATGAACATATTAAGTAAAATTAGCAAAATTTAGTAATTATGTTTGAGACTCCAGTCACTGCTAACTATTTTGTTTTAGAGAATATGAATAAATAGTCGGGAGTTTTAGAATTAAAACTTTGTGGCAAGCATTAACCAGACGGAATTAGGAGAAATACCCAGATACCTTACTTTTCAATCTGGAGGCAATAAAGGATATCAGAACTTCCCACTCAAAGTTTGGGACAATTTTTGCTCATATTTTTGTTAAAGCCTGCAACTTTTGTGGTATATTTTAAGCATTAAGTTGATAGAGGCTGTATCTTGTATCCCTATGAATGATATCTTGCCAGAGAGTTTATTCAAAGCTGTTTGCTCTGGTATATGCCATGAAAGCTGCTTATAGCTATTCCTATATGAGAAGCTGTAAAATGTCTTATATAAAATTTAATGCAATTTGCTATTTTTATATGTGAGCATGATTTGTTTAAAATGAAACTACTGGGAAAGAGTGATGCTTCATGTTCCACCATAGTTGCCAATTAACTAAAATGATTTGAAGCTTGCTCTGCTGAGAACAAATTTTATATGCTTTAATATAATAATATAACAACTCTAAAAGAGAAAATTAAAATAAAATTGCTACATAGAGCATAAATCTAGCTATAACTTTATTTTACACTGATCAAACCTGGTGCTTCTCAATTTTTATGTAAGGTTAAATTTATATTAGTGCATATTTATACCCTTAAATGTAAATATGAATATGTTGTTAATATTGTTTCTTCTGGAAATTCACAGCACCATTTCTTCTTTAATATTGAATGAAGTATTCATCCATTTTTCCTTCAACGTCATCTTTCTGATATTAGGTATTTAGAAACATTTTCTCTGGAAAGTAGACCATTATTATTTTATTGTTTTAGATCCTAAAAACTTAAGCTTTTATGTGTAATGAAATTCCTTATAAATAAACTTTTTCTCTATAGGCTTCATTTGAGCTTTTTCAATATTTTATTGTAGTCATAAGTTTTATCACATTTAAATGTCTCAGTTGATCTTAGTATTATGAAATATTTTGACTTATCAGTGTGTTGGATGCTATGATTTGTTAAAAATACTCTGTTATTTTCCTCACAAAGTATCTTGCCTTATTTATAGTTTTGTAAAAATTTGTAATTTTAAGTCCATTTTTCCCTTTATAAAGGAAAGCATTATTGAATTCTATTTCACATATTTCAGACT